CCCCAAAACCCCAAAACCCCGTAAGAATAAGTAACAAATCAAATTATGATTAGAAATATCAGTCTAAAATAAGGACGTATTATAAATTGAAATTACTATATGATTTTTCATTGATTATTGAGGAAATAACTAAGTAATAATAAAGTTTATTATAATCAATCGACTTAGTATCACTTAAATTAAAAACAAATCTTATCGAATACTATGACACACCCAAGATAACACTTAATGAAACAATTGAAGTCTAACAATTGGCCCTCTGCAATCATTTTTAAAGGATAAGATAGTGGAAGGCAATTTGATAAGAAATTTACACTTTGTTCTACCAGATCAGAAGAGTTTGACGACCTGTATATTGATGAGGGCATTAAACTAGGTTAAGAAACAAAAATTAAAAAAAGAGAGAATCCATTTGTCTAGTAATTCAAAACTAAATTAAGTTTGGAATAAGGAATGATCCTACCATCATCAAATTAATAGACTAGGAAATTTGTTAGTTAAGATAACAAAAATGATAAATTAATAATAAATTACGAACGTAATGTCTAAAATAATTTATGCAAGATCCCAAACGATAGTTGTTATCAGAAAATTATTCTAGAAGAGCTATAAAAGAAAGATGAATCCCCTATTATTAAGCATAAGGAAAAACAAGGCAATACTCTTAAATCTGAACTCTGCAAGGATTAATGGTTTGCAAACTAAGAAACTTCTGAATAAGCACACGATCTGGACCTTCAAATCATTGATCTAAATTAGTTCTAGGATGAAGAAAAAGACCACATAAGTCTGGTTGAAGAGTAGAAAGCTGAGGAAAAATTTTATAAAAACTCAGATTCTATCACAATTAAACAAGAAATGAATCAAATTGCCCACCAATCAATAAAGTAGTCTGAATTTATTATTCCACAGCCAATTAAAGAGACATAAAATCAATAGTTTGAAGGAGCACTAGACCCTACTATTAGTCGAGAAATAAGATAATACGCTATAGAGAGAATGATAATAATTCTGCATCTAAACTAAAGTCTAGATGTCTAGGTCCTAATATTTGCTATCTAACTATTTGATAACTTTCTGAGAACAAAAAAATTTTTGAATTTATCAGAAACAAATCCAAATACTGTAATCCTGACAATTTTAAGTTGCTTGTCATTAAGTTCATAGTATTTGGATGACATGCCTCTGAGCAATTAAGAATTAGCTTAGACGATTCAAAATAATAATTTCAGTTAAGATGATATATATGAAATGTGTGAGAAAATATTCAACACTGAAGGCTTCACCCTAGAATTCCTGGACTTATCAAATAGTTGTATAACAATGATTACTGAATTTTTGAATTCAAATACTCAGAAAAACAATGAAAGCTACAAAAGTATTTTCAAACCAATTTTTACATAAAAATTGACTGAGTATGTAGAATAAATCAGCTTGACTTATCATATTCAAGAAATGAATAAAGAGATATAAAATTTAGAAGATTTTAAGGTAGCTATTGTTCTACTTGCTTTAAAGCACTATCTTAAAGATTTGCATTTGAATTCTATAATTTAAATGACAAAATGCAATCTTCATAGTGATCTACAGCTAATCCAAGATAAAAACCTTGATTAATTCCTGAGCATCAAAGAATTAAGAAAAAATTTTAAGGTTCACAACATTTAGAGTACTTACTAAAAGTCCATTATCAAAGATATAACAGCTAAGCTTGTAAATAATAACAATTCAAGAGAAAGTCTCTCATACTCTGAATGATTAAGAGGCCACTCATTGATAAACTACTTTTGATCTACATAAGATTATTCACTATTCGTGTATAGTCTTTCAGACTTTATCTTTATAAATAAGTTTTATGCCTACCTTGACAAAAATTACTTAATCGAATTAGAATCCATTTATTTCAAACTTATATTCTATAATATTTTTCATTATTTAAATTTTCTTACAGAAAACTTCAATCAGTTGATTTGGGGTTTTGGGGTTTTGGGGTTTTGGGGAGATCGGAAGAGCACACGTCTGA